TCCTCCCTCGCCGCCTCCTCCCTCGCCGCCTCCTCCCTCGCCGCCTCCTCCCTCGCCGCCTCCTCCCTCGCCGCCTCCTCCCTCGCCGCCTCCTCCCTCGCCGCCTCCTCCCTCGCCGCCTCCTCCCTCGCCGCCTCCTCCCTCGCCGCCTCCTCCCTCGCCGCCTCCTCCCTCGCCGCCTCCTCCCTCGCCGCCTCCTCCCTCGCCGCCTCCTCCCTCGCCGCCTCCTCCCTCGCCGCCTCAAGGTCCTTCACCACCCCCTCCCTCGCCGCCTCTTCCCTAAGTAAGTTTAAGGGCCAGCTACAGTGCGCCTGCAGCAAAACGAGTTTTCCTCACCGGGCCAACCTCCGGCTCCGCCTCGTTGCGCTCGTGGCCGCCTTGGTTGCCTCCCCCCTCGCCGACCCCGCCCACGCGGCCCCTTTTGCCCCCTATCCCGCCCCCGCCGACGACGAGGCCGACTCCGCCACCCAAACCGACGCCGGCGCCATCTCTGCGTCGGCGGGCGACTCCCGAGTCTACCTCTGGACGCCCTATGGGGAGAGAGAGACCTGTGAGGCGTGGGGCGGGGAGTGGGACCCGACCTACCGATCCTGCTTCGTGCCGGCGCGGCTCGACCCGGCACCATTTGTGGAGCAGTGGGGTGAGCGTCGGGACCTCACCGATCGCTGGCAGCGCTGGCAGGTCCAGACGGCGCAGGCAGAGGCTCGGTACACACAGGCAGACGCGGCTACTGCCCTCGCGCGGGCGACACCCGCCGCGGCGGCGCCGGCAGAGCCGGTGGCGACGAAGGCGGCGGAGGCAGCGCATCACGACGCCTCAGCTTCCACCGCCCCCGCCGCCACCACGCCCGCGGCAGCGACGGCCGCCACCCCCGCCGCCATCACTCCCTCCACCGCCGCAATATGGCCCGCGGCGTCTCCCGCCGACCCCTCCGCAGCTGCTTCTTCGGCCGCGACGGTCGCCCCCGCCGCCGCCGTCACTCCCCCGACCTCCTTCACCGCCGTCTCCGCCAACGGCGCCCCCGGCTCCGCCTCGCCTGTGGTCGCCGAAGCCACCGCCGCCGCCGCCGCCGCCGCCACCGCCACCGCCGTCGCCTCCGCCGCCGCCACTGCTGCCGCTGCGCCGCCAGAGAGGGGAGACGCTGCAAGCTGGCGAGCCCGAGCCCCGTCAGGCCTCCCGCCGGATCCGCCTGACGAGCAGATGGGGGCGGCGGCGCTGGTGGCGCTCGCCGCCACCAGTCCCACCGCCGCGACTTCCTCCGCCGCCCC